GCCGGCGAATAGCGAGCAGCGCCGCCCCCGGTCCCGCCCTGGGGCCGGAGTGTGGGTATTGGGGAGAAAGTTCAACTTTTTTTTTTTTGATTGCAAGCCGCCCCCCTCCCCTGGCTCCCAAGTTGGGGAGAGAGGTCCAGCCCGCCGGGGGCTGGCGCGCAGGGACGCAGGGGCCCTGGGATCCCCAGCCGCCCGCCTCTGTGCAGCCCGGGTTTGCTCACCTGTCGGGAGGAGGCCGTGGGGGGCCGTGTCCTCCGCCGGCCCCGGCCCGTCTGGCGGAGCTGCCCACCCGCTACCGTCTGCCTTCTAGAAAGGTGTGCGGGAGAAGCGTCTCCTGCCAGCCCAGCCCCGATGCGCTCGGGCCTCGCCCAGCGGGGAGAGCTCAGGTGTGCGGGGCGCCCGCGAGAAGCCAAAAACCCGCCAAGCCTGTTCCCGCCGGCGCCCGCACGCTTCCCTCGCCCGCTCCCACCCGCTGCTTCCTTCCCCTGCCCGTGGCTTTCTTCGTTTTCCCGCTCTCTCAGGCCTCTGAGCCCTGGGCAACTTAGTCTCGCTCCCTTTTTCCCCCTCCTTGCCCCAGAGTCAATGCTGACGCATTAATTACCCCAGAGGACAGGGTAGAACGGCCCCCGGTGAATTTCTAAGAACTGTACCGGAGTGGAAAGCCCAGTCTTTCTCCTTCGGTTCCAACTCATAGCGACCCCATAGGGAAGGGGAGACCCGGCCCGTGGATTGTGGAGTCCTAACAGCCGCACTGGGAGACCTTCTGGTCTGAATGCTTCACTTTGTAGACCGGCCACGAGGCAGGAGCCTGGTCGTTTGGGTGGCCAGCCTTTTTGGCGTTTCCCCCTTTCTGGGAAACTGCGCTTGTGGGGACCAATGGATTGCCCAACCGTCTAGGTTAGGGGTGCCATCCTCTCACCTATTGTTTGGCGTGGGCATTTCCTCCTCTGATCCCACCATCTCTAAGCTCCAGCCGCCTAGGGGCCATGAATCATTCATTGCTGACTCGCAGCCCTGGGGGGCTTTCTTGTATTTTCCCGAAATGTAATAAATGGGGTCGCCTCGCTGTAGTGACCGGCCACAGAGACGGGGGTTTTATGGCTGTCAGTGGCTCATCCTTGAACAGAACACCACGCAGGGCGCTCAAGGTGGTCTTCCGAAACCAAGAGGGACATTCCCAAAGAGACAGTGCCATCTTGCTCGGGGGCCCTTTGGAGCCGGTCCAGCCAGGGCGGGAGACCAAGCAGGCTTCAAGCAAGTGGAACTCAGGCACTCCCTTCCCCTTGAAAGCCGGCAGCCCGAGCTGCGGGACACCACCACCCAGGAGCCCTGGGACAGGTTGTGGGGAGCAAGATACCCAAACCAAGCTCACTGCCACGCAGTCTGTGTCGGCTCAAATTCACTCTGTAGGACAGAGGGAAGTTCCCAGGGGCGGGGCGTGGGGAAAGGAATAGAATGGCACGTCTTTTCCTCTCCTTTTTTGCCTGGGAGTGGCTGGTCCTTACGAGCCACTGGCCTTGCATAACCGCTACCCACTACGCATTACGGACTTGAACGCAAAGGCAGCACTGCACTGTCTTCCAGAATAACCCTTGTCCCCCTTCCCATTGGCGATGTTAGGATTGCGCATTCACATCTGGCTCAATCCGCCCCTGATCTTTACATCCCTGGTGTCAGGTGGCCATAAACTCAAAACCAAAGCTCATTCACCACCACCCACTCAATACCCACTCAGAGTGACCCTGCAGGACAGGGTAGAAATGCTCCTTAGCATTTCTGTGACTGTCACTTTTTCCCACAAAAAGACGCGTGGTTTCAAACTGCTGGCTTTGTGGGCGCCTTTAGCGGGATAAGTCCTCTTTCAGGGGACTCTTGAGAAGCCGTGTTCAGAGTCAGGTGACTAACTCCTTCCCTCGCATGACCCACGGGGGCACTCACGCCGAGGTGTCACTGTGGCACCCACCTTTGCCGCAACTAATCTAAGGATCTGTGCCCTGCCGGCGCTCTGCACCGTGGAATGGTTGGGAATGTGCTGTCTTCGTGGCCAAGTGAAGTGAATGAAGCAAAGCGCCGTGTTGAAAAGCAATAGATCACATGCTGAGTGACAGGCTGGGATGTGACGCCAAGTCTGACTCCTAAAGTTTTCCCAGCCAAAACCATGCTCTCCACTTTGCTGGGGGACGCTTCTCCTCGATTCCTCCGTTTGTTGTGCCATTTTTATTTTATAGAGACGAAAACAGGGGGAGGTCAATTAAAGTAAGGATCAATTAATTCTAGCTACAGAATCAATTCTACCTGTTCCCAGTTCAAATATGGGAATCCATGGCCTCTGAATTCCTGGGATGGCAATGCTAACATCATCTTAGGACAGCTCTTACCTGGCTTGTCCCTGCTCACATAAACAAAAGGAAGGGGGGAGATGGGGGTGGAATATGTGATGGCATCAGTTATATCTTACTGAAGTCTCTGAGATACACTTCAGTTCTCTGAATCTGATGGGCAGTGGTCCCATTAGGGTGGGATGACATCAGCTCTGAAAATGGTGATGGCAACATATGTACAAATGTGCTTGATACAATTGATGTACAGATTGTTATAAGAGCTGTAAGAGTCCCCAATAAAATGATTTATTAAAAAAAAACACCAGTGGGATGATAGAGTTGGTCCTCAATCTTAGTGCTACTTTTCATGTCAGGCCATGGGACGAATGATCAAGGTATCATCTGGTGTGTATTGTTGTGAAGCATCAACAATGCACAAAGGACCCTATAGCCCTTGGCTGCTGCTGGCATGGTCAGCATTCTCACCGCCCTCATGTGCCACCTTCAGGACAATTTCCAGACAGTGTGCTGGTTTCTTCCAGCTTTTGTGGCCCCTTTTGAGATGGTGGCATCTGCATTCAGAGCTTGAGCTACAAGTTTGCTTCTCCCCACCCCCACCCCCACCCCACTCCCTATGTGTCTCATAAATTCTTGTTCAAAAATTCTCTTGGCAACTTTTCTTTGCAAATAGGAAACTTAGTAGCAAACTCAACCCCACACTCCAGAACACATTGCTTCCCATCATCAGCATGAGCGCAAAGGAGGGACAGGCCTGTGGGAGACTTGCCTATAGGACAGCGAAGGGGAGGCTCAGTGTTTCCACCAGGAGCAGCCCCTGTCACAGGTCACTGCCCCTGTTAGTTACTGTTCCAAAGGGATGCATCTCCTGCTCCTGTTTCCGTTGCTTCTGTTTGTAATTATATAATCTGTGTCTCGCTGAAGCTGGACCAGTTTTTCAGCTCCAGACTCTCATTCACATGGGTGCCTAACTCAGCAGGTTAAACTGTTGTGACAGACTG